ATATATATATTAAATCCAGAGTTCTCTGAGCCCTGCCTGCACATGGGTTCTACCAAATATTAATTCATTCAACCTTTATTTGTACAGGTTGGTTTCATTGAGCCTCGAGGACTCATTTACAAGAGAGACTTGTTTTAAACAAAGGACACAGATGAGGTACAGACAACAACTGTGGCTAGGATGCGTGAGAGAAGCGAAGTGCGCTCTATTCACACAAGGGGAACTGTTGGTCAGGATACTTCTTGTTGTGCCATTAACTCTAATATAGTTAATGAATCAGGTGTTTACTTATGTAGGTAAAACTAGATGTCAAACAACCCAAATATAAGAAATGCAACAAAAAATGTCTATGACTCAGTAAAATTCGCAGATATTGAGCTAAAATTTGGTATGGGGGCACTTTGGACCGGTCCGCAACACATACTTAGAGCACTAACATGTCACACAGGAACTTTGCTGAAAACTTTGACATTAACTGTTGCAGTCAACCCTCCCTGTCTGTTCGCAGCATATCTCATGAACCATTGGATGGACTTTAATGAAACTCACAATAAGTAATCAATAAATGTACTTCTACAACTGCATGACTTTTGGAGTCTACGTGATTCAAGAAGGCTGCCACAGCTAAATGACCTTAGAAAGCACAACAGTGGCTATAAGTGAGGTAGTTTGCATATATTGAGCTAATATTTGGTGTGGTGGTAGCTGAAAGTCATCCCCAATGCATACAATGAGCACCAACAGATCACATAAAATCATTCTTTAAAACTTGAGCATGCAAGGCGGCTGTCAATATTAATATGTTAAAGATGATGAAGTGTACTGTAATCTTCCTCATACAAATGTTTTACTCTTTGCATGTCGTGCATATCTTATTTAAACCTGCAATTCTTTTCTTTGACATCTACTGAAGTCTAAACAATGTTGTTGTTTTTTTGTATTTTTTAGAGACATGGCTAAAATATGAGGAACACCATTATGAGAAGGTAATATTTTCAGTTTAATTTGAAACAAAAATTTAAAATCTAGAGAAATGGCATTTTCTGCAAAAATGCAGTGTGATTGCTTGTTGCTGAAGTATCAGCAGTAAAACAGCTGAATTTAGCTAAACAAAAAAAAATGCTGATTTGTAGCTGAAATGGAAGAATAAGCCTAAATAAAGGTTGAATGAATGAACAAAAAAATGAGCAGAAGAAAGTAGAAAGAACACAATTGCTGATTTTAGTTTAAAGAAGCATAAATGAGCACAAAAAAACCCTGGAAATTAGCTTAAAAAAAAAAAAAAGAAGCTGCAATTAGAAGCAACAACATAAAAAAAAAGCTTAAGAAAGAAACCAAAAGAGCTGAAATGAGCTCAAAAAATGTGGAATTAGCTGAAAAGTCTAAAATTACCGGTAGTATAAAAATAGCTAAGTAGTATCTGAAATAGCAGAAAAAACTGAAAGCTGAAATTAGATTAATTTTTTAATTGGACCGAAAGTAGCAGAAATAAGCACAAAAACTTGAATTTATCTGAAATTAGCTAAAAATTTCTATTAAAAAAAAGGGTAACTGAAAAGGTAGAACATGTTTAAATTAGCAGAAGAAAGCATAAAGAACATGTTTGCCCAATTAGGCTTAAAGAAGCAGAAATTAGAACAAAAAAAGTAGAAATTAACTGAAAAAAGCTGAAATTAGTAACAATAAAAAAGTAGCTAAAAATGCAGAAAGAAGCTTAAGTTACCAGAAGGAAGTGGACAGAGCACATTTTTGCTTTTAAAATGATTAATAGAATTAGCATAAAAACAGCTAAATAGTAGCTGAAATAGCAGAAAAAGTTGAAATTTGCATAAATAAGCTGAAAGGAGCAGAAAGAAGTTAGAAGAAACACAAAAATGTTGTAGTTAGCAGAAATAATCTTAAAGGATAAAAAAAAACAGCTGAAATTAGCTGAAAGTGGCTGAAAAAAAGTTTAAATTTGCTCAAGGAAGCTGACAGAAGCTGAACCAGAACAAAATGTGAAAGAAGCAGTCAAAGGTTGTAAACAGATCTAAAGATCTGAAGGATGTAAAATGAGCTCAGTTCATTTTCTTTGAGAAAAAAATGGCAGAAAAGGCTAAATATTTCAAAAAGCTGTAGTTGCACCAATACCAAAAGTCATAGCACCCTTCTCTTGAATGAGCTGAATGTTTTGATATGATTTGTTGAAATAGCGCCAGAATTGTGGAACGAGAAAGATGCCGGAAAACGTACGGAAGAAAAATGGATCACAGTAAAGCTCCACAGGCTCAGACCAGGAAAAAAAAATGTGTTAAAGGTGTTTTGCACAAATGTTAAAAGAGACAGGACTGTCCTTTAAGGGGCCCCCAGGCCTGCATGATCCTGATGGGACTCCAGCATGAGCAGAGACCGAGACAGACCCCCTCATTTGTAGAACCTACTCCTTCATGGTCCCCAGAAGATATCTTGGATAGCTGCAGCCTTAATGTAGAGCAGCAGTCTGGGGGCCACGTTACCGTAGCCTAAAGCTTTTCTTTCTAATAGCACTCTGTCTCTGGGACCTTCTGTCTTCTCTGGAACTGGAGACCCCATGTGTTTCAGGACCCGAGGCTCTTGTCAGTTATAATTTTCCACGCATGCACCCCCCCCCCCCCCCCCCTTAAATCTCACAACAAAAAAAAGGGGGGGCAGAAATCGTTTTGGGGGGCAAAAGCCGGGGGGGGGGGGGGGGGGGGTTTAAACACCCGAGCACCGCGAGCATGGTGTGTAACATGAAACAAAAATAATATGAGCTTAAAGCAGAAACTGGAACAACATGCAGGCTCAGCTAACGCTAGGCTAACATTTCCAAAACACTGACTTGATCCAGAGTGAAAACATTTCGAGTGACCTCGGGCAAAGCTCAAATGTCGACACGCAGAGGACGACGATCAAACACCAGAGACGTTGAAAACACGTCTGCAGCGTCTAATCTGTAAAATCAGCCATACACACACGTCTCTAACAATAACCACTTGTGATGTGTTGTCTTTAACACAGGATTAAATACTGGTGTGGTGGAGCAGAGGTTGGAGAAAGTGAGCCTGTGATTGAGAGGTCGCCGGTTCAAATCCCCTGAGTCGTACATCAAAATTAGGGTGGGAAAGCTGAAGCACCCAAATCTGCCTCCACCCTCATTTGCCCCACTGTGGGCTCTTGAGCCAGGCCCTTAACCCCTCCACATCTGCTCCCCCAGGGGTCCTAGATGGCAGCCCTCTGCTCCACACATGTGGGCTGTGGTAGCTCAGTGGTCTGTGGTTGCGTCAGGAAGGGCTTCCTTAGTAAAACAACTGCCAATTTTTCAGGCAACCCCCGACGAAGGGAGCAGCCGAAAAAACACAACGCAACATGTCTAACAGTTTTTAATGGGTCCCAATACTTCCATTCATGCTGTAGCAGTAAATGCAGATGACTTGCACAATTCTGTAGACTGAAAAACAAGTAAAATAAAGACCCTCTCAAAAGAATGGATATCACCACCTGCTTTCATGACAAAATGTTTAAACTCTTCTTATGTTGAGGAATGTTAACATCACAGTTCTTAGTGCTTCATGTGTTGTGAATTCATTCATTCATTCATTCATTCAACTTTTATTTATACAGGTTAATCCCAATGAACCTCGGAGACTCATTTACAAGAGAGACCTGATTTGAACAGAGTGATGACAACAGTAGACAACAAAGACAATAACAGACAATCATAAAGGGTGCATAGAAATTGAGATTTTTTTTTAAACAAGTGAAAATAAAATGGTATTTAAAAGAAACTGTAACAAAAAAACAGCTAGATTATAAGGCGATGTAGAAAACTATAAACAGGAACATGTCTGCATTGGTTTTTGCCAGGATGTTTTTTTTGCCAGATGTTTCAAGCCACTTAGAGAGGTCAAGGTCGAGAACTTCAGGTCTTTTTGTAAGATATTCCAGGCAACAGGAGCGGAGTAGGAGAAGGCCCTTTTGCCAAGTAAAGTACGCACTGAGGGAACACTGCAGGTAATAATGTCCTGAGAGCGCACGCTGTAGCTGCACTCATGCAGAGACATGTAGGAGGAGATGTATGAAGGCAGCAGACCAAGAAGTGATTTAAAGATGAAAATG